GAACTTCTCTAAAATATATGTGTAGAAATGTTGAGTGATGGAGTTTGTTTTCCTGCAGTTTGGGGGTTTTTGTGCTCTTTGAGATGTACTGTCTTTCTGCTCTTCATCTGGTCACTATAGTTAAGTTCTTTGCTGTTTAATGAAGGTCTGGCATTCATAGGGAGCATTGTGTTGATGGCTTTGAATTTAGCCAGGTTTATTTCCTTCATATGTCTTAAGCCATTTGATGTCAGATCTTCCTTTCTATGTGATTACCCTGGAGGCTGAAGTTCCTGTCAGTTTTGCAGTCCTTGACTTAACAGCTAAGCTGAATTCTCTGTTTGTCATCAATATGTGATACTTACTGTTGGGTAGTGTTATGGTTGGCACAGGCCCCAAATAGGACTGCTCGGACCAGTGTCTTGTAAGTCTAAGAAACACAAAGACACAGCGTTAGGGTGAGAACTTGTCTGCACAGATCGTTTTGAGCACTGGCAGGAATTATTCATGTTGCTCTTATTTTGAAGTATAAAAACTCAGAAAAGCAGCATGGACTTCATTGCCTCTAGTCTGCATAAGGCTTGATTTTATTTTCTTATTTTAGAGCTAAAATTATATAAATGAGAGTACCCATTAATGGACAGAAAAAAGCAGGACAGAAAGAACAGCTAACTGAAGTTAACTTGGGGGTTAACAACAGAGGAAAGGAGTTACTTGGGGAAAGGTTTTTACTCACCTGTTTGAAGTATTCAGATTAAATCACTTTGTTACCAGCTCCTCCTCCTTGCAGCTTGAGCTGAAAAGGAACCGATGTATTTTGAAGGAGTGTTTTCCTACATAGGTTTAATTTTTAGCATTTAACGATAATTGGAATCTTAAAGATAATGTGATGATCAGCTTTTGGCTAAGCATGCTTTTAAATACAGCATTTTGATTTTTCTTGCAGAAGCGAGATGAACGCACTTTGAAGAACACAGACATCAAAGTCGTTGATTTTGGAAGTGCAACTTTTGATGATGAACATCACAGTACATTAGTGTCCACAAGACATTACAGAGCTCCTGAGGTTATTTTAGGTCAGTAGAGACTTTTTAATCTTCTCAGTTACAGTTTATTCAGATCTGTTTACCCCATAAGCTGGAGTAGTTGCTCATGGTTCTGGTAATTCAGTCATCTCTCATGGATGGTGATGTTGGAATTCTTGAGAGTAAACAGTAAAAACTCAAAACAGAACTCCAGACATGTTCCTTTACCCACTTCCTCCCACCAAGGTTTGGGGAGAGGTATGGAGAGGGGGGGGAAATAGGCATCAGTAAATGCATGGAAACAGGGCATATGCTTTGTGGATTACAGGTTTTGAGAATGTATTAAACAGTAAAACCTAAACTTTGCCTGTTTTGCAGCGCTGGGATGGTCACAGCCTTGTGATGTTTGGAGTATTGGTTGCATTCTAATTGAATATTACCTGGGATTTACAGTGTTCCAGGTATGTGCGTAAACTGAATGTTTTTCTGTTAGACTGCTTATTTTGAGTGTTTAATGGCATGTACTTAACTGTTACTGTAAAAGGCATAACCTTGCACGCTTTTAAAGGATTATATAGATAAGATTGTAAAGACAGCAGGCATATATGAAGATGTAATGTCTTGGATATATCCTTCAGACTATTTAAGACGATCTGTTGTGGCTTTCTGGATGATAAAGCCTGCATAAAGTCTGAAGATAATGCTGGAATTAAGAGTAAAGACTCATACAGAACTTGGTTTATGAACTCTGTTGTTCAGGGGATGTCCTAGAATGTGCTGTATAACAAGATGCGTTGCATAATCTATTTGTAATAATTTAATGTATAAAGATCCTGTGACAGTATTCTGGCGAACAACTTACTTTTAGATGACTTGTTACCTGAGAGTAGAAACATGTTAAATGCGTTTATTGCTTTTTCCACACAGACACATGATAGTAAAGAGCACTTGGCTATGATGGAAAGAATACTAGGGCCTCTGCCAACTCACATGATCAAGAAATCCAGGTAAGTTATTAGAGAAGTAGGTTTCCTAATACTTTATTATTCAAAGAGAAATCTTTTAAGTTTTCGTTGTTAGCTATATGATTCTAAAGATCAACAAAGAGGCTTCCTGGCTTCTTTTTACCTCTTAGTCTGTTGCAAGAAATTGGTCAGATTTAGGTGAATTAAATAGTTGATAGTAGTCCTCTCTTCTGGTTTTAGTCTTAAGTGCTGCTCTTTAAAGATACTTCGGAATGTTCAGTAGAACACCTCAAAGTATCATCTCTTGTTTTCTAAATAACGTGACAATGGTAAGATAAAAACAACAGCTCTGAATAAATAAAGACATGTTAGGTACCAAATGCAAAGGGGTGTGCAGGAAAACTTCCATGGTGTTTCAGAACTTCTGAGAAAAGCATCTGCCTTCGCTTAGTGCACTCACATTATCTTAACATTACTTCCCTTGTTCTGCAGGAAGCATTATTTCCACCATGACCAGTTGGACTGGGATGAACACAGCTCTGCAGGGCGCTACGTTCGGAGACGCTGTAAGCCTTTAAAGGTAGGAGAAAACACTTTAATTACTTCATTAGATTGATGGTTGTGAAAGATCTCTTTAAAATACACACTTTTATTTTCTTCCAGGAATTTATGCATTGCCAAGACACAGATCATCAAAGACTCTTCGACCTTGTTCGCAGGATGCTGGAATACGATCCAGCCAAAAGAATTACTCTTGATGAAGCTTTGCAGCATCCTTTTTTCGAACCATTAAATAAGTAAATGCAAAGATCTTTTATGCTTCTTCAAGGAGATTTCCTAGACTGTGTCAGTCAACAGAGGTTGCATGAAACTTTTGTAAGCGTTAAATTATTTTGTACAGTTAAGTCTGTAAATAATGCCATATGTTTTGTATAACTGTTATGTTTACCTTGTTGAGCAGTTGTAGTCTTATGGGTAAGTGAAAAATAAAAGTGATTTTCATTTTTAAAAGCTTTTCTCTCTGAAGCTGTAACCCCTCTCCCTTTGTGGATGGGGTTTGTTAAACATCTGACTTCAGGTGAGGAGTCTGTGCTAGTTCTGAAGCATTCAGTAATTTGAACTACCATTTAATTATGGTAGTTCAGAGAAAAGATTTGAAGGGCTGAGGCTATCTAATCATGCTGTATAGTATGTTGTGATAGCATTCTGTAATACTGGTTGTGTGTATTCTCAGTAGGGATCTCTTCTGTGGGTCACCTGTTAAAGAGCGTGTTGCTCTGGCTAATTTGTCTCTGGAAGCTTGTTGATGCTTTCAGTGTTAAGTATTTATAGGCAATTTTTTTGTCAAGGTCTGAAAAGTAACATTTCGTATTTTCAGTATTGTTTTAATTCATTAAAGATGAGCAATTTAATGAAAAGTTTTAGAGGAGTTGTACTGCCCCTGGAGAAAAATGCAGAGAAATAACTGTGTGCCACAGATTGTCACATATCTAGGCCCTCCTCCTGTAGTAGTAACAAGATCATTCCGGAGTCTTAAAATACATATCTCTGTGACGTTTGATTTCTCATTACGGATAAATTGAGTAATCTTGGCAATGGAGAGACACTGTCATTGGACTGGAGGTGGGAAGGAGCGGGACAGGTGCAGCTGTGACTCCTCGGGTGTCAAGTTGAGAGAAAGGCACTGCTTTCTAAGCCCGGTTGATGCACTTTGGTAGTTTTTGCTTTTCCGTGTTCAGATTGATGCTTTCGTAGTCTTGTTCAGCACTTGTAATCCATTTGACATGTAGGGTTGGCGTGCTGAGCAGGAGGGAAGCTTCTAGGGTTCGTTCAGGCTGACTGTAGGTGCAGTGAGATTCGACAATTTTATTTTCAGTCCTGACTTCACCATGTAAGTCTTTCTTAAGGGAGGAAACACTAAATTGTTTCAGCTCCACGGGGGTCTTGGCTTCAGGTTTTGTGCTTGCTAAGTCTTGATGTGGGGTAAGATTTCAAGATGATGTCCTTGTTTCACTGATGTGGAGGCGGCTTAATTTGCAAGAGGCTCCAGACATGCATATCGGGGGTTGAGTAGAGCTGGGGCAAGCTTTGAAAGCTTATCTTCTGTAGGCGCTGCCCCCTCCTGTGCTTGATTATCTCATAATAGACACCCTCCTTCCTAGGATGTTGATGTTCACATCATTGTTTCTACTCTGCATGACAGAAAACATAATGGTTGGTACTATCCAGCTCAGTGAGGAGATAGAGGACAGGAGTGAACTCTTTCCCTTGCTTCTGCCCGCATTATTTCCCATCCCACACCTTCAGAGGCAAAGCAAGGGCTTGGCTTAGCCTATCAGTTAAGCAACACAAATCAAAGGCAGATGGTGGAAAAAAGTTTATATGCTGCTATAACTATTAAACTGTAACTATAAAACAGTTTGTCAAAATTAGTAAGGGTAGGACTGTGTACCCATGCTTCAAGAGTACTTGTAGCCTTGGGTAGTGTAGGTATTAAAATGCATTGCACTTGCTAAAGGAGATACGTGCTACAGCAGTTATGCGTCATAAAAACTTGTTTAAATTCTTCTCTAGGAAGGAGTCTTTACCCATGCACTTAACACGTAAGTATAATGGGGGTAGTTTGTAATCCTTCGTGTTTGCATGGAGCTAGTTCTGACTCCTTGTAGCTGCTGGTAAATAATGACAGGATCCTTTTGCATGTTTCTCTACACTTCAGATTTTTAGCTATTGTACACTGCAGACCTGGTCTGTAAATCCATGAACGGTTCAGCCACACAAACACCAGCCCCCTCCATAACATCAGTTACACATTTCACTGAACACGGGTCATGGGACAAAATAAAGCTGTTCTGAGCGAGTAGACCAGGCTTTACTCCACAGAAGCTCCCTCCCAAGCGATGCTGCTGTGTGCGTGCAATGGAACTCACAGGGGTTGTAAGTGAAGTCTCAGCAGGCTCATGGCAGGGGGTGGGGGAAAGGTAAAGAAGAGGCTGCTCTTGAAAACCTGCTTTCTTTGATCCTTGGGCCCATGGACAGCAAGAAATGGCTGTTAGCAAAGGATACAGGTATGCCTGGCTCACTGGTTTGGTAACTGGCTGTCAAAAAAGCAGCTTGCAGTATGCACCCTGGCAGTGCAGGTACATTGGGTACATTTTGTTAATACACTTACTAGACCATGCACTAGTACCATTTTCTAACTGTCCTAGGCTTTGCTCATCTATTCTAAAAGAACTACTCCTAGAAGAGCAGGGTCTTTGGGCTAGGAGGCAAAGACTGTTTAGATTTGTATGCCATGTGCTTAGAGTCTAGACAGGCATTAAGTTATCCGGGGATGTTTTATAGGCAAGTTCAGAGCTGACGTGATGAAATCTGTAACAGCGAGAAAAAGGCAGGGGTGGTTGGCATGTATGAGCATCATTTCTGTTGTTCAGAGGCTCCCTAAGGCAGATGTGGCACTCGGATCTGCTAACCCCGGTGAAGACCCGCTGGGGTTGGCCGTGAGGTCCCTTCCCCGGGCCGGGTCAGGGCTGTGCTCAGGCAGCACAAAACCCTTTCGCTTGACGCCTCTTGCTGGTCGCGCTCGTTGGGAGCGAGGCGCCCGTCCGGCCGCTCTGCCCGGGGGTATCCGCTGCGGCCCCGCTGGAGGGCGCCCGCTCCGTTCCCGGGGCTGCCGCCTGGCTCTGCCGCTGGAGCGCAGCCCCCCCCGTCCCGGGGCCGCCCGCAGGGCACCGCCGGGCCCCCCGGGGAAGGGAGGGCGGGGAGCAGGGGGAAGGAGCGGTCCCCGCGGGGGGGGCCGGGCAGAGGGGTGGGATCTGCTCCGCGCAATCCCCGATGGAGGGCGGCGGGCAGCGCTCGGAGCATCCCCCCTTCCCCAGCGCGGGGGGGAGGCGGCGGGGGAGCCGCCACCCCCCGCTTCCTCCGTTTAAGACCCGGGGCTGGCGGGGCTGGCGGAGGAGAGCGGCCGCTCCGCAGCTGCCGGCCCCACTTCCGCGGCGCGCAGCGCGCAGGGCGGGCGCTGGATGCGCCGGCGGGGGCAGGCGGGCGGCAGCCGAGCGGGACCCCGCGCAGCGGCGCGATGAGCGCGGGCAGCGGAGCCGCGGCGGGCACCGCCACCTCCGCCCTCTGCCTGCTCCTCTCGCTCACCGCCGTGGCCGTGTGCCTGCTGCTGGGCGCCAAGACGGCGGAGCTGCAGGGCCGGCTGGCAGCCCTGGAGGAGCGCGGACCCGGGCCGCTGCTGGACGCGCTGCAGCCCCGCGTGGAGCAGCTCTTCCGAGAGGTGAGTCCGGCCGCGGGGCCGCAGCACAGGGCCGGGGACGGGCGCTTGGGCAGGGCGCTGCGGGGAACCCCCCCCTCCCTGTGGGTCCCGGAGTCTGTTTCCCCTCGGGAGAACTTGCTCCTTTCAGCCGAACTGCGCCCGTTACGGGCGAGGCGTTGCAGAGCCTTTAGGATTTAAGCGCGAAAATGGCCCAGATGGAAAGGATACGATTTATGCTCGAGGACACGCGACTTTGTCCCTCGTTCTATTCACTGGCAAAGATCACCCGAGTACCTAAATGCTATTTACCTTCTAATGCGATGGACTATGATTTCCTAGATAGAAATTTGCACGCACGATATCTGGACAGCCTCTCGCAGAGTATCGTGTGGTCCCGCAGCGCTGAACTGGGTTTTGGCAGGTAGAGAAGATGAGCAACTAGTTAATTCACTTTCAACCCCAGGGTTTTCAGAGATTATCCAATAAAGATGTCTCTGCTGGAAGATTTCTCCCACATGGAGAGCCATTATCCACACTGGTGCCCTTCTCCGTAACTAAACCATATCTCCGGGAGAAGTTACACTTGATCCCAGGCTTGCATTTCCCCCCAGACTCCGGTGTTTAGGTTTGGGGCTTTCCATAGGCAGGGAGCGCGGGGAGGGCTCCCATAGGAAATGCTGGAAGATCCCACAGTTACTTTGCTGGACTTGTGTAAACAGTAGTTCATAAAGCACAGCACGGCCACGGGGCTGCCGCGGGATGCTCCGCTGCGATCGATCCTGACATCTGGGGAAGGTTTTACCCCGGGATTTGTTAACGGCCTGACTGGGGTGCAGAACACGGAGCTGCATCACAGCCAGGAGCCTCCACCGAGCACAAATGTGTTTGTCAGCAGCGCCTTCCAGCTGCGAGCACCTCTGGGGCTGCGCGGGGATGGATGGAGGCAGCGCGGGTGGGACAAGCCCTCGTCCTGCCCGCTGCTATAGGAGTGACGGTGGGAGCATTCACTCACCTGGAAGCCCGGTTCCGTTGCTGTGCCTGGGTAAAAGGGGAACGTTAAGAAGTGTTTTTGTGAACCCCCTGAATACCAGACTAGGGGGGAGACCGCCGGGTGTGATCACAGAGCCCAGTTAACGTCTTCTCTCCGGGCAGGAATTAGCCTGCCAGTCGTGGCAGTTGTTCTGTTCCAATTACTCCAATAAATGTGCTTAGCAATGGGAATGGTTTCGGTGGCACTGCCTAAGATCATGTGCAACCTCTTGCTGAGATTTAGTTAAGTGTGGAAAGCTTGTTTTGTACTGGGAGCGCTCAGATGGAGATTATACAGGGGAAAACAGAGCAAAACCACATAATTGGGCTTCTAATGCAAGAGGGAGCTTGTTGAAATGCTTTGTATGACCAATGTTTTGTCAATACTGAAAGCAAACCTTGAAGCGAGTAACAGATTCAAGGAATGAGTGGTAGTGATTGTGCTGTCTATTAATAGTCGTTTTAAATGAACCTCTTCATGTATGGTAATGTTTCAGAAGGCTCCTGTCTCTTGACCAAACCGGTCTCTGTTTCATAAGACTCCTCGCTCATCGGGCCACTTCTTTCTGTGCTGGAGAGTTTCTGGAGAGCGAGGGAGTATTTCCATCATCATGAACATCAACTGGTGCCTGGGGTCAGCTTTTCTGCTCAGTTCTGTGTTGGGCCTCCTTTGAAGTTTGCCACAACATTTCAGAAGTGAAACCAAAGCCCCATACGCTCTCTGTGCCTGACCCAGCATACTTTGTTCTCTGTCACTGCCCCAAAAGCATTACTCCATCTACCAGTCTAGGGGTTTGCTGGAGTAATTTATGGCAGAGCTGTGTATGAAGGGCAGCAAATACAACACCAACATGCTGGCTCTGTTCCTTTTAGAGTTGTTTGAACGTGTGGCAAGTATAAGGAGGATAGGAAATAATAAAGGGTGAGTGTGTAGTTAAGGCAATGAAAGGCAATCTGGACAACTAGGATTTAATTTCTGGCCCTGTGAAAGGCATCTGAGAAATTGATGATTATAATGTTATATATTATAATGTGCCTTGCCCTTCCCTTGGCTGTTCCTTTCATGGGACTTGCTGCAGGGTCCTGCTTTGATGCTCTCTGAAACATCTCCAACAGCGTGGTCTGAACGTGGTAGCATCTCCACTTGCTCTACATCAAAGCCCCAGTTCGGAGTGTGTCGTTTTCATCCTGGAGGGAGGATGTTAACGGGAGGATTATAGAAGCATCCAGTTGTTGTAAACAAAGCTGGACCGTTTCGTTCCCAAGGGATTTATTGTCTGCAATAGGCAGACAGTGTCCAGATTAATCAATTTCATGACAAGAACAATTCAATGGGAGAACAGAGGACTCGCCCTGGGATTCAGCTCTCCTATTCCCAGGGATGCCTGCCGAACCCAGAGGATGGAAGAGCTCATTTTCATTTCCTCAAGCACCCTCATTATCCGAATTACTTTAAACAGATCAAAACTGAGCATCTTTCTAACATTCAGACTGCAGGTGGCTGTCAGAAAAGTCTCTGCAGATGCTTCCTTGGCACTTTTCCTCAAGGAAAGCCTGTGTTTCACAGGAGGCAGCCAGATCATTTTGGTATTATCATAGGGCAACTCCTCTACCAGGTGCTATGAAACGGTGTTGATACTTTCGGGACCTCTCACCATCACATCCGAGCAGCCAGAGAGGAATGCCTGGGATTTCAACAACACATAAAACCATTAAATCCCCAGAATAAAAGGAAAAGAACCTAACTCACACGTAGCCTAATTCCAGAACAGTCCACAGTGTTCAAACATAAACTGTATAAAAGTCAAGTCTGAACACCCTGAATTCAGTAAGTGCTTGGAGTTTTCTCTCTTGGACACGCGGGGACTCCAGTTATCAGGTTATTGGTTTCTCTCTTGGTAAATAGGTGAGACAGGGCATTCCTGCAGGATAGAGAGAGATTGTGGGTGAAGATGAGATGTTCCCACCCTTGCTGGGCTGCCCCAGCCATGAAGCACCAAACCTGAGCTCATACAACCCTACCTGTCATCAGGGCTCATTACCTCAGGCTTGGCAGTGTCCTAAATGCAGGCACGAACATTTCGGTTGGCGTAGAGAGCAGGCAGAGCGCTCACATCTGTCTGCAATATGCCACGTAGACGGTGCTTTAGGTTTGTGAATGTAGATGTTTCCTGGTCGCCTCACTGATGGGTTCTTCACCCTGGGGATGGAAACACTGGGCTTTGGGTTGACCTGGTGCTGTGAGAGCACCCCAGTGTCACTGGCACCTCACTTCACCTCCTCAGCCCTCCCCTAAATAAACCCGTTACACTGCACAAGGCTTGAATTTTAAGTATAAAATCAGCTGAATCAGGCCACTTCTGCTGTGCAAATATCGCCCTGGTACGTAAACTCCTGGCTGCCTGGAACCAGCTTCACTGTTGGTTGCAGCGAGGCTTTCCCTGGGGCCTTTGCCTGACCCTGCCACCAAACACACCGAGACGATGCTGAGATCTGAACATGGGATGTACGCCAGGATGAATCCAGCCCATGGTGCTCAGCTCAAGGGACTTTTGGGCTGTGCAGTCTCTGCCCGCCCTGTGCAAGGGCTGTACACTGATCACTGCTCAGAAACATTTCATCTCGTGTACTGCCATAGCATGGGGCGTTATCCGAAGAGGCTGAACGCAACAGGATGAAACCATTACCCCTCAGTGGAAGGAAGCGTGCAGGATGTTGGCATGCATGCACAATGCGCATTTAGATATAATATATTCTCTAAATGGCTCTTTTCATTCCTTCTCCGAACAGAAACTGGGTGAAGGGCTGGCAAAGCTGCGGACGGCGAGAGAGGCTCCATCAGACTGCATGTGCCCCCCAGGTAGGTGCAAACACACCAGCACAGCCAGCACCAGGCTGCCCAAGAGCTGCCTGCTCACTGGATCAATGCACTGAGCTCCTCCTCTCATGTTTTATATCAAGGAACATGCATTAAGAAGTGTTTCTTTCCAAGCTGAGGCACTCTCTTTAGCTCAGGACTGTTAACGTCTTCCATTGCCTTCCTTTGGCCTGTTCACAGATAAAGGAGTTTGAGGTTTGGACCAAAGCGACATTTGGCTATAAGAATAAAAGAGCAAATAGCTTTACTGGGTTATGAGCCCTGGGTGTTGGGCCAAGACAATTTAGAAGTAGGAAGAAAATCACTGGGGCTTAATGCAAGTGTGATAATTAAAAGCTGCAGCCTCCCAGCCTTGCTGCAGGAAAGCTGTCACTGGTTGTTTAACTCTCCTCCCAGAGTTTAATGAACTTCTTAAAGTGTCAAAACTTCCTGTTCTGCTGGGCAAGTGCATGCTCCTTGGAAACAATAAACAGCTTAGATTAGTTTGTAAAGGAATCTCATCTATAGAAATGCTGTGTTAAGTGCTGTGCTGTCATACCCAAGGGCATGAATGGCTTCAGGCTGAGGCACTTCAAGCCCTTTCTTTCCATGAAGCAGGGAAAGATGGGTGAAAGATGTGCAGTGCTTTGATGGGGGAGAGTGCACAGTCCTGTTCCAGAGCCTTGCGAGCAGCATAGTTCAGTTCTGGTTTTAAAGGAAAAAACAAATCATAAATGCTACATGTAAAAGCATAATAGGCAAGTGGGCAGTCTCAGTTTTCCCTGCCACTCTGGATATGGACCCTACCAGAACACACAGCGTTAGTTTGTACACACAGGACAAAAAGATGGGCTTTTTTCCCCATAATAACCTTGGAAACATGTCAGTATTGATGCTCTTCAGTGTGCTGCTTCAGTGAAAGGCTTCTATGGGGGTCCTGTACGCCTGTATCCAAACCCATGAGCTGAGACGCAAACCATGCTTGTTTTCAGCTCTTCCAACACCAGTGGTCAAATCAGTTTTCTTCTTTCTGATGCACAGACCCAGCCAAGTCTGTGTCAGCCTCACAGGGCTCTGCTGCTGCATCTTGCTCTGGTCAGTGCAGCCAGGGCACTACTGGTGTGCTTAAGTGGTCAAGAGGCTTTTCCTTTCTCTGCAGTTGGGATTGAAGAGGCTCCTTTGTGGCCAGGAAAGTCCCAGTCCTGTTCCGGGTCACTGGGTTTGATGGTTGTTGTGTTTGAGAGATGGGGAGAGGAGAGGAGGGGGAAGGTTTTCCCATGTGATGCTGAAATACTCATTACAGTCATTAGGAACGAATGTCAAAGTAATTGGAAGGAGAAGTGATTTCCCATGGGTAAGAAACGTGGCATCAGTGACTGCTTCTGGCTACCACTGCTGGGGAGCCAAGTGCTGTGCTAAGGTGAGGGTGTGCTGCTGAGCTGTTGTGAAGCCTTCTGGCTATTTCTGAGCAAAGCAAAGGAATCTTTGCCTCTGTTTCTTTTCCTGTTTCTCTTGAAGAAGGCTGAATTGCCTTTCTGGTCTGCAGTTAAAGAGCTTGGTCCAGAAACATCCTGAGAGCTCGTGGTCCTCACTGGCATTTGCTGCAGAGCTACAACAGGATGAAAACTAAGAGCTAAGCTTCAGTTTGCTTCCATGCACTAAAAAAGCAGGCCCTGGTGGAGGAAATTTCTCCCCTTGAGGGGACTGGGAGGTAGGGAGATCCTGAAACCTTTGCCCATGGGCAGGGGGAAGCAGGGATCACGCATGGGCAGCTGGAAGCTGGTGGGTATCCTAAACACCTGGGCTGGGGGGGGGCTTTCCTCCTCCAAAAACCCTGCTAAGCTTAAGAGTTTTATTACTGGATTTAAAGCAAGCCAACCTAAGAGCTGTTGGTGGTGATGCTGTCTGCAGCATCATGCCAGAGGTCCCTCCCTAGGTATCTCTTTGGGAAGAGGGGAACTTGGTGCCCTGCAAACCCATGGCAGTGGCAGGAGCAAACTGTGTGCTCAGGGCTGGACTTGTTTTAAACAAGACCCATTATTTTTCCTTGAAGAGAGTCAATGTGGATGTTTGCTGTGGTTTGAGGGGCTGTTGTTAGGGGACCTGCCTTGATAAAATTGACCTGTAACGCGTTAAAAGCAGTTTGGGACCAGATGACTAAGGTCCGGTTAAGTTAAATAAGGCTTAAATTATTTCAACCACAGCAAAGCCCTAAATCAGTGTTTGTAAAACACACAAACAAAATAAACTCTTTCCCTAGAAAAACAAAACCAAAACTGACCCCTTTTGTGCTTTGTGCTCTGCTGTCAGTCACCTGTTTGGCTACAGGGCTCAGCTGGGTTGTTGTAAGTTAGCTTGGCTTTGAAAATGGGACCCGGAGGGCTGTTTGGGGCTAAGCTGGGGGGTCCAGGGCTGGTGGCACCACAAGGGTTGGTGGCCAGCAGAGGGGGCCCCGCTGCTGTACCAAGGCCATGGAGACATCCTGATCCTCGTGGAAAATAACCATCAGTGGTAAAAAACCTGAACAAAATTACTCCCCTGGCTCTGACACTGGACATGCTGCAAGAAGGTGTCTCTGTAGCTGTTCTCAGCATCTGTGTGCTGCTTTGAGTTCACTTGTTTCGCTTTATTTATCCAACAAAAGCAATGGGGGGATGATGACAAATTGGTGTCACTGTGATTCCTTTGTGGTTTGGACATTTCTGTGTATGAAGAAAAGGGAAGCATCCTCGGGGTTTTGAGCAGCTGGACCAGTGTGGTTCGGGCTCTGAAATGCCATGATGGGTGGTTTGGTGATGCTGTGATGGGTGGCTTGGTGATGCTGTGATGGGTGGATTGGTGATGCTCTGATGGGCGGGTTGGTGATGCTGTGATGGGGGGGTTGGTGATGCTTTGATGTGTGGTTTGGTGATGCTGTGATGGGTGGTTTGGTGATGCTGTGATGGGCAGGTTGGTGATGCTGTGATGGGGGGGTTGGTGATGCTGTGATGGGCAGGTTGGTGATGCTGTGATGGGTGGCTTGGTGATGCTGTGATGGGTGGTTTGGTGATGCTGTGAAGGGTGGGTTGGTGATGCTGTGATGTGCAGGTTGGTGATGCTGTGATGGGCAGGTTGGTGATGCTGTGATGGGCGGATTGGTGATGCTGTGATGGGCGGATTGGTGATGCTGTGATGGGTGGTTTGGTGATGCTGTGATGGGTGGCTTGGTGATGCTGTGATGGGTGGCTTGGTGATGCTGTGATGGGCGGATTGGTGATGCTGTGATGGGCGGATTGGTGATGCTGTGATGGGCGGATTGGTGATGCTGTGAAGGGTGGGTTGGTGATGCTGTGATGTGCAGGTTGGTGATGCTGTGATGGGCAGGTTGGTGACCCTGTTCCAGTGATGAATGTGGCCTTTTGGTCCCTCCAGCTATGTGGGACGGGGCTGCAGTGGTTGCACTCCCAGGACAGGCTGTTCCCATATGCTGGCTCACTGTGAAACAGCAGCTCAATACTTTTATTATTGCCAATCCCAGGCCTGTAATGTTCTGCAGGGAGGCCCCTCGTCCCCATCACTTCAGCCTCTTTCTCTGGTGGGATCCTCATGGGCTTTGCTGCAAGATAAAATGCAGCAGGTGCAGGAACACGTGTTTATGTGGCATTTAGGGCAGCACTTGGAGGTGGGTTGAAAGCAGGACTAAACCTCCATGCTTCCAAGCACTTTGTTTTTCAGCTGTGTGGCTGTGTTCTGGCTGCCTTTTTATATCTAATTTTTAAGGAGTCTTTTATTCCCCCCCCCCTCCCCCTTGTGTTTTTAAGCTCAGTCTTTCAAAACCTGGTGTGAAAGGTTCCTGTTAAATACAGTATTTGCCATAGGGTCTGTGGGAAGGTCCATCAAGAGCTCAAGGTACTGGATGCCTGAGAGCAAATCTTCTTAAATCCAATTAAAGAAGGCTTAAAGCAAACCTGGTCCATAGAAAACACCCTGCCCAGCATCTGGTCCTTGCTGTGTTGCAGGCTGAGGGTGTGAAAATCTCCAGCTCTTACACTGTGTATCTCAGTACACGCCTGGAGAAGAGAAGGCTGCGTGGAGACCTCAGAGCAGCCTCCCGGTATCTGAAGGGGGCCTATAGGGATGCTGGGGAGGGACCCATCATTAGGGACTGTAGTGATAGGACAAGGGGTAACGGGTTCAAACTGAAACAGGGTAAGTTTAGCTTGGATATAAGGAGGAAATTCTTTCCTGTTAGGGTGCTGAGGCACTGGAATGGGTGCCCAGGGAGGTTGTGAATGCTCCATCCCTGGCAGTGTTCAAGGCCAGGTTGGACGAAGCCTTGGGTGAGATGGTTTAGTGTGAGGTGTCCCTGGCCATGGCAGGGGGGTTGGAACTGGATGATCTTAAGGTCCTTTCCAACCCTATTCTGTTCTATTCTGTTCTGTTCTATTCTATTCTCTGTGTGTGTTGTGTACCCCTGTGCCTCTTTATTGCACGGTACCTCCGCAGGCTTTGCAGTCCAGAGCCTTAACTCCGAATTTCCCAGCTGCTGGATTACGCGTGTTCCTCTCTCCATCTTGATCTCGCGCTGGGGCGGTGTCATACGCTTCTGAACGTACGTATGCATTGCAAACCAGTGTGAAAACGTTCAGTGTAACCTGATGTTCCAGTTCATATGTGACAAGTATTTCCCAATAATGGCTTGGCAGCGGGAGGAGAGGAGTGGTACTGCAGGGCGGCCGATTGCTCCATGGCTTGGCAATTCAAACCATGTGTACTGGGGGAGGCGAGCCTTTCAAACCCCCCCGCGCCTGCAGACTCAGCGGCAGCAGAGGCTCTCTTGCTGTGCTTATTTTGATCTCTGTTTTAAAACAATATCATTATTTTAAGTGTTTATTTATCATTTTTAGCCAAACTTCATGCACAGGGATCAGCTCTCCGCAGCTCGCTGAAGTTTGGCTCCGTTCTCTCTGTGGTTCCCAGCGCCTTGAAATGCCTGCCTCGGTTTTGCTGGTGTCAATGCTGTCTCCAAGTGCCATTCGCTATCTGCCTTCTCCCTGGGTTGTCTCCCCAGGTAATTAGCACAGCAGAATTCCCCTAATTGCTGGAGATCAAGGA